TGCAGCGCGTCTTCCACCCCTTCTGGGAAGGAAGATCAGACAGCAAGGACAACCCAGCCCAGCACCTTCAAAGGATCAACAGACCTCCCCACCTTCCCTTTTTCCACACGTTTTTGGTGGTCGTCTTGCCCCGTGGCTGAAGAGGAAGATGAAATGGCTCTCAAGCTCCTAGAAAGTGTCTCCCAGTTGTAAGGACTGGCAGCCTTGAATTGAAATGCTGTGTGTATGGGTGGCTGTGTGGGAGGGTAGACATGCTCTCCTCATCCTTAAACAAAATATATTAATATAATAACTGGCTCATCTCACTGCCAGCTGCTGGTAGGTGGCTGGTGCCTGAGGGCTCCTTCCTGAAGCCCGAATTACCTCCGAATGGGCCGGAGAGGAGACACGACAACAGCTTGCAGGCTGACTGCGACCCACACCGGTGCTCGGCTTCCAGCGTTGGAGCAAAGTGATTCCTAAACGGCTGCTGAGTGCTCTCCTCCAGTCCGTCGCTAATACCGTGCATTCATAAATGTAGGCCAAAGTATTTTCTTCATTTAAGCTGGGGCGAACTCAGATGAACTCAATTAATACCAGCGCAGTCCCGATGGGAGGGGGCGTTTGGCCCTGCTCGTCCCAGGAAATTACCCAGAAGGAGAGATTTGAGGGGAAAAATGAAGAGATGTGGATGTGGGATTTGTCCCAAAGGATGCCTCCTGCTCTCTAGCTGCTGACCCTCCGAAATCCAGCGCTTTGCTATTGCCTGGCTGCTGGAAGGATTTCCAAAGGAAGCGATGCTGTTCCAGTTGCTCGGAGCGTCTAATCCTGCGCTGAAGAAAGCTTTAGAGAAAGTGCTGTAGGAAGCAGTGATGACAAACTGTTGGATTAGGTAAACTAAGAGGCATTTGCTGGCTCCGATTTATTCTCTTAGGCTCTTTTAGTGCAACCATAAGCCTAAGGGCAGTATTTATGAACAGCGCACTGTCACAAGTAATATTCAGGCCCGACTGACAAAGCTGGTAATCTCTTTAATACTTGTAATTATTCCTTACTTAAACTGATTTTAAAAAAAGTAATGCTCATGAAGTCCAGCCTGTTCAGCACTGTGGAGGAGGAATTATCTGCAGTGGAATCGATCTGAGCG